TTTCATTATGGTATTATTTAGCCTGAAAGTTTATTTGTGAAATAAAGGGAGCCTTGTGTACCAGAAAATCCAAGCTTTGTTCTCCTAAACCTGATAGTATTCCAATCTAGTCTCAATTTCAAATCCAAGCACCTATGTCTATAGAACATAATTTAGTTTCTGTTGCAATTTTTTTTTTTTCAAATGACTTTAAAATATGGGTTTAAATTAATTCTATTGATAAGGTAGCCTTTCATTGCAGGAATTTAACAGGCAAGAACTTGACTATCACTGGTAGATGTACCATTACATAACATTTTCAATACCATGCTAATGCTGTGTATGACATACGCTAATTAATTATTTTGGTTTGCACGGCAAAGGAAATTGGTTATATTTGGGTCATATTAAGGTTTTTTAGTAATGAATTGATATGAAACTGTTACAAGTATATCATTGTACTACTATTACATTACATAACAAATATTATTCACATCTAATAATATGGCACAATTAATTTCTACATGTCCATATTTCTATAACTTTCAATATTATGTAGTACCCTCCACTCTTCTTACCAAGTTGTTCCATTCTCGTATCTGTCTTAAATTTTTAAATTCTATTTTTTTTTTATACCAACAGCACTTGTTGATTCTTCAAATCTAGATTTTTATATCTGATACCTTGATCAAATCATTGAAGAAGATACCTTAAGAATTGTGTCAACTAACAATGAAATATAACAACTTTACTACATGCAAAGTTTTAAGTTGATGTGAAATATGGACATGTACTTTGAAATATACTGATGAAATTCAGTGATGAATAATACCTACAGACAAACAAAGATTTATGATTGAAAATCATTAATTGCAAGAATATAAATGAATGAATAAATGAATGAATGAATGATTATGAGAAGAAAACTGATTGAAATGAAGCCACCTTCATAATAGGTGAAATAAGGTTTTCCAGGAAAAATGATCATCTTACAAAACAAAATCAAAATTTACAAATAATATAATACCGGTAATAAGTAAATGTACAGAAAGAATTATAAGAAACAAAACAGGTGAGAAAAACATACAAATTATCCTTCAACAACTTCTAAATATATATGTATACAGATTTCATATTATTCAACAAAAGCAGAAAACAATACAAAATTCATACAAAGTACAGAAAATGAAATAAATTTTTCGGCTGCTTGTGAACATTCTCTTCTGCTAATGTTAAAATAGTTGATGACAGTGATATATTATAATTGAATGAATGAATGAATGAATATACAGAATGGATGAATAAACTGACGCAATCCTCAATTAACAAAATGTACAGATGATAATAAATGAAATCGACTAGGTTAATATCGTCCACAACGTAAAGATAATATGAGATGACAGTTCTATGTTCTTCAGGAAGTATATCTGATGTTTCTATAATAAACAGTTGCATCATTATACACCTTTGATCTTCCATATTTCAGTTCAATCTTAGAGGTTATACCAATCATAATGTTATACCTTTGCTGCAGAGTTTGATCTTTTTTAAAGTGAAAATAATGGTCACTATCTAAAATTTTAGACATAAACCTGTGATGTTACATTACAAGCAATTTAGGTCACAAAAAAATTGACAAATCCACAATTTCAGTGGACCCTTCTTTTTTTAGGGGACTTGAAACAAAGACCTGCATTCAGCAAAATTATAACATTAGGTTCAGGATGACGTTTACATGTACCTTACTGAACTAGAACTGAAGTAATTTGTATGTACAGTAACTACAAATGGCTTAAAGATAATTTTGGTAATCAAGACAGAAAAAAAGAGAAATCTAGCTTTATGAAAAAATATAATAAACAAAGAATCAACTAAAATTAAAATTACCCGCTTTTTATCCGAAATGTTATAATATTTCCATGCTATAATGCCCTATGATATAAGAAAAGCCTTTTGTAAGTTTTATTTACATGAACATGAGCCCTTTTCAGATGCAATAGTCAAAACAGTCTGCTGGATGTCCAACTGAACTCAAGGTCATAGTAGACATGATGTATTTAAGATCTAAAATAAAATTATTAAAATGTGTCTTTCTAACATAGCAAATAAACTTGGAATTGATTCAAACTAAAAATTAATAATAAAAGAATGTGAGATTTACAAAAACATGTCTTCTTTCTGTTTCATTTCAAGAAGCCAACTTTTTTCTGAAATACTGTATTGATATTTGATGGTATTCTTACTTCATGATTAGAAATTTGTAATTCAGGTTATTTTCTAAATTTACATGAAAACAAACTTTGAAGGAACTGTCAAATAATATTTCTTCTGGTTGAAAGTAATGTCATATTGTGTATTCTAATATTCTACTGATGTCAGAAGAAACTGGCTCCAGAGACACTAAATGTAAATTTCTCTAATAAATACTCATATTTTTCTGCAATCTGTACGAGCAATTTCCAAATGACCTTTTCCATTTGTAGTCTTTGCAGGTTTGAAATGAGAAACAGTATATTAAACTGTCTAAGGTATTCATACGATTGTCATTCTGCCAGCAGCCATTTTAATAACATAGATTTATAGGATTACCTTACTAAAACCAGAATGTCAAATATTTTAGTCTTGACAATTTCAATTCATTTTATAAGCAGTCGACTGAATCAAATAGTTCCATGATTTTTTGCGAAAAGAAAGGAGTAGTATATCCATAATAGTGTTCCTATTTATTTAAAGTTCTGAGACATCTGCCATACTAGGTCCAATTTTAAAAAAAATTAATAAATGATGAAACATCATCGACAAATTAGCCAGATATCCATCTGCGGTTATGTCCTGGCATCTTTGATTTGACCTGATTTTTTCTGACATATTTCAGTGATTGAATTTCAATAAGTTTTTGACCTTATTAAAACATATACATGAAAACGTAAGCACAAGTTTCAGAAAAGTAAAAAAATATGCTAAATATATTTGCATGTCAGCTTTGAATTTCTGTGATTTTATCGAAAATCTGACACTGGATTGAAACTTGAAACAATGTATCCTTTTTTTTGATTTTCAAGCAATTGCATGTCATGTCAAGTCAAGAAGTTGTTCTAGCATCATTTTACATCAATGTAAGTAAGTTAGCTGTAGAATGATTTTCAAATCAATATGTAAAAAAATTGTAAGATAGATTACGTTAATACGAAAACTTGGAAAATTTCTATATTTTTTGTCAAGTCAAATGTATGACAGATCACTTATTAAGTGTTTAATGTACTTTACAAACTACTGACAGCAAATTGGATAAGATAATATCAGTAATTGTTTTCAGTTACCATTGTATCACAATGACGACATTATCAATCAAAAATGTTTTACAAAGTTGCCTAATGACATCAACCAAAATTTGTAGCAAAGATGTCTTTCAACCATCAAGTAAAAGTAGCTTCTTGAAAGAAACAGAGAAGAAATGAAAATCTAAAATAAATGAAAATCAGAACTAAGTTGATTTATATTTCGATAGTTTGGAAACGCCATAAATGAAAGATGATTATTTTTTACAAAGAGATGAATTATTTGAAACAAGTAACAATGAAATAATGTTGTTTCAGTATTTACATAAAGTTACATATGAAACAGTGAGAACAATGAACCACCATCAAAACTTAATCAGTCTATTTAAATGCACAGTGGATGAATAATATTCATTAAAAAAACATATTTTCTAACTGTATGAAAATTTGATTTGCGTTGAAACTTTAAATCACTCATTCTGGCATGTTATTTCCTATTATTGATTTTCTTGCTGGCAACATGTAGCAGATTTCGTCCATGATCATTCCTCATTATTCCTGGTGGCCGCCTACGACTGGCATTCTTAGACATTGTAACAAGAAAAACCACAGGAATTTCTGATATTGGAGTATAGAGAAAGAAAAATAGAGGAAAGGAAATAAATGACTATTGAGATGAGTTGACAGCAAAGCTTAATCGGTGAATCAAGATAGCAATATGATCTTTTTGATTGAATCGTAAAGATAGATGACGTTTCACATATTCTTTATAACTCAATATAAAATACATCTTTCTTGATTTTACAGAAAGATTATTCTATTAGTTTCAAAAACCAGGCATTCAAATTTCAATGCAATTACAAAGCAAATTAACTATGTGAAAATTTGATGAGAAAATAAATGCATATTTGAAAACTGCAGAGCAATTCTATTTTTGAGCTCAATGCAAACTTAGATCATATTTTTAATGTTTGCAACATAAATTTATTTATTTGGCTTTACTCAAATGGTGTTTTGTAATATTTTTGTTTTTATTTTAAAATAGCTTTTATTTCATATAAGCTGCCTGTCAACCTTTATAATTTCAATTAAGTTTTATTTATGTGACATTTTCTTCACAAAGTAATAATACCCCCCAAAAAAATAATTAAAAAATCTGAAACATTAGAAGCAGATGTGAAAACAACCTTGAATATTTCTGAGAAGTTTCTTTATAACAGACCTTAAATGCAATCCTTCTCTGTAAAAAATTCTTCACAATAAAAGGTTTATTTCCTGTCAACATCTTTCAGAAGCGAGACTTGTTCATTTCAGCACAGAGTTTTTTATTTGATTCAGAATTCTGTTTCAAATATCTTACGCTCAGAAACATTACACAGACATATTTCAGATTTTACGCAACACTTTAATCTGATTGATAAATAATATTGAGTTAATATTTAATTTTGACCAATCAGATATGGAACACTAAAACAAATACCACAAAGTTTCAGAGAAATAGGTTCAAGAGCTGTCTGCTCAGAGCGTACTTTGTATGACCATAACAGGATTAATAATAATAATAATAATAATAGTTAGAATAACAATGGCGGACACAACATCTAGAATTATAACAAAGACTTTTGAAGAGTCATAAGTAGGAAGAATCACAGCCTTAAAAGATAACCAACAAAATCAACAACAATATTCTTCGATTACATATTTTGTTTTCAAAAATAAACGCTTCTCAAATTGAGATATTCTTCAATCCACCAAATGAATTCTTTCTCGCTTCAGTACGTTATTACGCCGAAAAAAAAGTTCCCCTTTCATTAGTGCTTCTTGTAATAATTTCGATGACATGTCTGATTTGATATCAGCTGTATGTTTCATTTTACCGTTCATGATGGCTTTATCTCGTTGCAATAATTCCACAATATCCACTCCAAGCCGTTTTAATTCTTCTCGTAAAATACGATTTTCATCTTGTAGGTCATTATACAAACTTTTAAAATGCTGCATTCTGCCTTCTAACTCCATGTTCATTTGTAGGTATTTCTCATTCATCTGAAAAGACAAAGAAAGATAACTCTGATTAAAACAGATACAGATTATTTTTTGGTTGAATCCTCTAGTCGGCATAGACGAGGTAAAGTGTTCTGTGTGGGGTATGGTATGAAACAATTATTACATTAGAAAGTAAAACAAATGAACACACAAGGTCTGAACAAAATTTGTCTATTTAAATGTTTTTATTAAATAAATTTTGTTTTATATCATATATCACCGCCATCAACACTGTATCTCGTCTATTCCAAACTATTCAAAAAGTCCTTTCACTCTGTCTTCATCAAAATCTTAAATCTTTTTAGCGGAATGGGCTAGTGAGCCTGAATGTTGATGAGAGACAAAGATCATAGATATCTGATGCAAGTGGATATACATGTACATCATAAATAATAGCTTTCCCACTGAATCTATAATTGTGTTCGGGTTATTGTGTGCAGATAAATCATATATACACTTGTTCATCATAAATAATACCTTTCTTACTAAATCTATATCTTAGACAGTTAAAGAATTGTGAGATAATATTGTGTTTTATTCAAGACGTGTTTATATCTTTTTTATAATAAAAGACAGACTGTGGTGAAACATATATCGGTCGGTTCACAGAGTTCAATAAAACAACTATATTGATACATATCAATCAATGAAGTCGTGTTATACACTTGTCATTTAACAAGGTGGCCAATGTCAGTTTCTCTCAATGCCCTGTAGCAATTGAAAACAACATAGCCCTTGAACTAGTTTTAATTAGAGTATTGTAGAGCAAAAATATCCAGATATTATGATACATTGATACAATTTTATGAAGGTATGATACACATATAAAATTTCATCATCAATCTCCCTCCAGCATATGGACATAGTTCAATATAAACAGTACGAAAAAAATAGGAATTTCACATTTCTTCACTGAGCTTGAGTTATATGCTTCTTAATTGCAAGGAGCAATAGGTGATAAGTTAAAATAAGTTTAAAAAAGAGGGAGGAGGGAGGGGGGGAGGGGTCTGGGTGGATGAACACTGCTTAATGGTGAAAGATTCATTTTCTTACTGCAGAATGGACAAACATTAATTGTAGTGTGCTGGTAGACAATGTAAAACTTTAACCTTGCATTTTGATTTTTTTTTTCATTAAATTCTAATTTTGGTTAATTCAAAAGTTAGCATGCCTCATTGCTTTCTATTACCTGAGAATATGGCCTTGAATTGTTGTGGACAAATGAACTTAATGAAATGAGAACCACTCCTCCTTAAAAAGACATTAAGGTTATATTAGTCAGTTGTAGTCCATTTTAGAGAATTGATGTCTATGGTTTTTAGAAAATGTCTAATCTTCAGACATCTCGCAACCAAACTAGTCTTAACAATCCAAAGGAATCTATGATATTTGGCTAGTCGCCAGTGTTTGGGGTATTTTTATTCGAATCACTGCCACTTTCTGATTGATTTTTTACATGTAGTATCTCATTTAATCCTAGTTTTTCATCATCATTAATAATCGCTGAGTTTTCATCAAATCCTAAATATAGCAGACTATTGTCTATACAACTTTTAACTACTGACCTAAAAAATTCATTAAGGAAGTTCCACCAACATGGAGTCCAAAGACTTTTTAAAGCAAAGATATCAGAAATAGAAATTATTGTCATCCACATAAGCCACCCACACTTAGTTGACTTAGTTATTATAGCCTGAATTTCTGAGTTACATGGTGTGTGGTACTGCATACAGTTTGTTTACACACCAAAGTGGCTTCTATATGAAATTCTGTCATTACAGTGCTTCTTAGCCAACAATTTATTTCTCAGGTTTTAGCATTTTCAAGAGAAGTGTTTGTCCGAACACAAATCCAGTGTTAACCACCAACATCTGAGCCTCCAACAATAATACCCAACCATCAAAGCTTTAAATATTACTATTGTAAGCTCAATTCTAATGAATATCCAGAGATTGATATATAATAAAACATTTCTGACTTGCATGATCCATAAATTTAGCTGTAGGAGTAAGCCGGATAATGCACATAAAATCATTTTGGATCAAAATTAAATACCTTTTTCAATAATTAATAAGTACATGTCAGAAACCCTGAAAATATCAATAAAATAATCAAAGTTCTAAGTGAATTCACATGAATCTACAGTTCCGAGCAATTTAAAGACATAAAGAGGAAGATGTCTTTATACCTATACAGTATTAACTGCTATAAACTGCATGTAAGCTGGCTGTTTATTGTCTTGCTAAAGCATAAAACACCATGTTTCTCAGGAAATAAGACAATCTTTTTCAGTTTAAATGATGAATATATGCAATCATTAACTCTTTAATTATTGATTCTTCGTTAGGATGTACCATTTTTATGATGTTGCTGTACTTTATGGCATATTATATTGCACTATTTCTATCATCTTTGACAGATCCAGAATAATTGTGGTACATGAATTAAACAAATTTTACATTGAATTCTATTTAGTTATTCTACAACCAAAATAATTCAATATAGTACACTTCATTTCTTTATCATCAGTTAGGAATATATTCTAGTTTGATATCAATAGTTCTATCATCATCATGATTCAGCTTAAGAAACACTGATGATAATGATGATGATGATGTGCAAGGGGTAGAGTTAAATTATCATTTGAGTGTAACCAGTGTTTTCCAGGTACAAGGCTTAAGCCTGGATTCCCCCTGTCAGTGATGCAGGTAAGAAGGGCTGACATGGAAAAAGCGTCTAGTCGTTCGGATGGGACAATAAACTGAGGCCCCGTGTGCTACAGGCTGTGCACGTTAAACATCCCTTGACAGTTGGAAATCGAAAAAGAGCAGACTAATACCGCTGTCCAGGCAAAATTTCCCCCATGGCACCCTGCATGGCGTTGCCCGTCTTCATTAGTCCACAAGGTTCAGAAAAGTAGGACATAAAACTCCATTCATTTCATTTGGCATTGGTACATGTATAAAATTAAACTAAAAACAACCACTTTGTGATCTCCATGTTATGAGATACTTGTACAAACTAATTTCACTAATTAAGTTTAGAAAAACATTTGTAATTTGTTTTCCATATTAATTTTAGAACTTTGCACTAAATTTTGTAAACAGACATCCAGGAAAGATGAAAGACAAAAATAACCTCAAGGTAATCAAATTAGTTCTGATATGTGCACATCATCTTGTCTCTCTATCTCTTCTAACATATGGTTTTCATTGAAGTTTTCTGTTCTCTTGCCAAAAACCACTTTATTTCATCTAATTCATGGTAGCAATTATTTTTTCTTTTTTTATAAATAGCTGTGTGTGTAGATAAGAAAAATTCCTTGACCGAGTTTCCACCGAATTTATCTGTTTTTTCATCATATATAAAATTAATGAGCTTATCTTGAGAAAGAAATAGCCTATACAGACCTCTTAGTTGTTGTGACTACAGTTATTGATAAGGTTTACAGATAAAAACCACTAAGAACTGACCAACTTATTTTTATGGTAATAATTCGTCAGTCTTTTATAGAAATTCAATTTGGTAGCTAGACTGAGACATAAAAATCTTTAGTTAAAATTATGGACATAATCCCCTTGCTCAAATTTTTGTCACATGGGTGACATTGAGAGATGGGTGATAACCCTGCATAGTTTATTCCCTGGTCAATGGTCATGCTTCTATAGCGAATCAATGGTCATGCTTCTATAGCGAGTCAATGGTCATGCTTCTTTATTGAGTCAATGATAATGCTTCTATAGCAAGTCAATGGTCATGCTTCTATAGAAAGTCAATGGTCATGCTTCTGTAGCGTGTCAATGGTCATGCTTCTATAGCGAGTCAATGATCATGCTTTTATAGCGAGTCAATGATCATGCTTCTATAGCAAGTCAATGGTCATGCTTCTATAGCAAGTCAATGGTCATGCTTCTATAGCAAGTCAATGATCATGCTTCTATAGCGAGTCAATGGTCATGCTTCTATAGCAAGTCAATGGTCATGCTTCTATAGTGAGTCAATGGTCATGCTTCTATACCGAGTCAATGGTCATGCTTCTATAGCTAGTCAATGGTCATACTTCTATAATGAGTCAATGGTCATGCTTCTATACCGAGTCAATGGTCATGCTTCTATAGCAAGTCAATGGTCATGCTTCTATACCGAGTCAATGGTCATGCTTCTATAGCAAGTCAATGGTCATGCTTCTATACCGAGTCAATGGTCATGCTTCTATAGCAAGTCAATGATCATGCTTCTATAGAAAGTCAATGATCATGCTTCTATAGCAAGTCAATGATCATGCTTCTACAGAAAGTCAATGGTCATGCTTCTATAGAAAGTCAATGATCATGCTTCTATAGCAAGTCAATGGTCATTCTTCTATAGAAAGTCAATGATCATGCTTCTATAGAAAGTCAATGGTCATTCTTCTATAGAAAGTCAATGGTCATTCTTCTATAGAAAGTCAATGATCATGCTTCTATAAAAAGTCAATGGTCATGCTTCTATAGCAAGTCAATGATCATGCTTCTATAGAAAGTCAATGGTCATGCTTCTATAGCGAGTCAATGATCATGCTTCTATAGAAAGTCAATGATCATGCTTCTATAGAAAGTCAATGATCATTGATGAGTATTTTTACAATTCTATTATTGTGGGTTTATTTGTTTGTTTTGCTTTGAACATTTATGCAATTTATTTATCATTAGTATTATCATAATATCAACAAAGCAAATTTTGAAGCTGTTAGCATTATAAATACACTTCATGTAAACACTTTATACATTAAAATACAGAAATTGTAAACAGTAAATACAATTCTATTGGAGGCTATTAATAAAGATAGTGTATAAAATTAGAATCGTAGTAGAATAATAATATAATACAGTACAAAAGACACTCTTGGACTAAACTGTGTCTAAACTGAAATCATTATGACTCAACACGCTTCAATGACTTCAGAAAATTTCTCTGTGTGTAAGACTGACCTACTTTTAACTTCAGTTTTCTTGTAAACA